AAAAAAAAAAAAAGACAAAGGACTTAAATATAGAAGGAATCCATTAGTGCAGGGTTATGCTCTAATCACCTGAAAAGTGAATACATGGATCCTATCCCCATATCCAGTTAGGTCAGATACCTTCTGAGGATACCAGAAGATTTTTATTTAAAAAGCTTCCAGGTCATTAGATTACTTATTACTCCCTAATGTAAAACTGATTGGTTTCAGAGTTCATGTCATCTATCCAAAGTCACCGCAGTTTCCCAATTCTGATCTTACCTCATATTTTTAGGTTTTAGAGACTCTCATTACATGTAGTACATTCATCAGGGTGCCTTCTACCCCAGGTAGTAAGCCGTCTTTGGGTCAAAAGCATCCTAAAACCAAATTATTCTTGCGTAAAGCTAGACTGGCCACAAGATTCTGAGGATGCCTTCCTGGGTCAGTCAATTCAGATACCCAGAGAAATAAGCCACCCTTTGTGCAAAGATATGAACCCAGAATGCAGCCATACTATTATAATCACATTATTGTTTCTCTATCTCAAATTTTTACCCCAATCAGTATAATTACTCCTCTCACTTTTCTGCTACTCTGAATATGTGCTTCTTAAAGACACATGGTTTGCAAACAGTTGCAATCTTTTTGTTGTTGAGACAGGGTCTCACTCTGTCACCCTGATGGGGAGCAGTGGTGCAATCTCATTTCGCTGCAGTCTTGGCCTCCCAATGGCTCAAAAAAATCCTCCCACTTCAGCCCCCTGAGTAGCTGGACTGCAGACATGCACCAGGATAGGCCACCATGCACGCATAATTTTTCAATTTTTTTGTAGAGTCAAGATTTCACCATGTTGCCCAGACTAGTCTCAAACTCCTTGGCCTCTCACAGTGCTGGGATTAGACATGAGCCACCAAGCCCAGCCCTGAAACCTCTTTGAAACTGCTGGGAGGAATGTAATGAGCAACTTAATTCTTTAGTAGGAGGCATTTCTACACCCCAAAACATTACACTAAAAGGTTTTTTGGCAATGGCTTGTAAATTCCTTCAATGTAAATTATTGATAGTGCAATGCTGCATAATGATGTAGTCAAATAAGGCATGAGTTTGGGGAAAGTTACGCTGAGGTGTGACTATCTTTGCAACTGCCCCAATCCTTTACTAAAAATTGTGTTTTAGTTTATAAAATCTGAGTGAAACACAGGAACAGCTGTACATCCCACCAGTTCTAGTTTTCATGTTCATGAATAACTATAAAAATAAAAAACCTCTAACCTTTCATCCTTTCCACCTCCATTACAATTTCCCATCTAAACCCACCTAACTACTAAAAACAGCTCAGGTCTGTCTGTGATGCTGTCTAAAGCAAAAGGGATTTCCAGTCCTGAAAAATCACTCTTAGCAAAATTTTCTATTTTCTAACAGACTTCCTCCTTAATACTCTCAACCTCCCTGAAGCTGCCATTTCTTATAAAAAGCTTTTGTTTGGTACAGCACTTTGATCTAACAACTAAACCATTTTTTAAATGGTCACTGATTTTTATTCAACATGCCTAAAATCTGAAAAATTAGAGAAAACTGCAAGCTACCCCTAAGAAACTGCCTCTCCCTTAATTGTCCTTTATTCATCTGGATACACCTGGACTGCTGCTTTTCATCAACAGTATTGTTTAACTCAAGCTATATCATACGGGATTTTTCTTTGCTAAATTTCTCAGTATTACATCATTTGTTCACTTACTAAGATAAATTATCTTAAATGGTCTTCAAGAGGGAAGCAGTGTTTAGTAAAAGGTGTACATTCAGAAAGGATTCCAGCTTAACTTGGCATTAAAGCTTGGACTGATGAGCCAAGTTTGCTTAAAGTGAATTCTATTCCCTCATACCACACACAAAATCAATTCCAGATGGATTGCAGGTCTAAATATGAAAGGTAAACATCGTTTAGGAGAAAAAAAATATATTTCAGACTTTGGGATGAGCAAACAGAGAGAAGTACGTTCCCTCTGTTTCTTAGAAGAATGAGTGAAAAAGGTTGGATATTTTCTCCCTTGAATTATTTATAACACTGCAGAGAAACCATCTGGGCCTAGATGATTAATGACTGATTCAAGTTATTTAGGTGTTCTAGGACTATTTTAGGTTTTCTATTTCTTCCTGCGTTAGTTTTAGAAAGCTATTTTTCCAGGATTTTTTTTCTCCCTAATATCCTTATCTTGTTATCCTTGCCTTTAGCATCGATACTAATGCTCTCTTTGAACATTTAAGGCTCTCACTCTCTTAATCCTTTCTATGTCCATGTGTTTATAATGCTTTATAAACAGATTGGTAACACTTCTTCCAGAAGCTATGTACCATTATTGCCTCCATTTTAGAGACGAAGAAACAGCTCACACAACTATTAAATGCTGAATTCAAGTCTTGTTATTCCAGAGGCTGTGCGCTTAATCATATCATTTGAGTAAAACATGTCATGCTTTATTCTTCTAGATGATCGATTATCCTTCCCTGGGGTCTCTGGGGCTGGCACCCCACGTCCCCACAAACCAGACTCCATCGATGATACTCTCTTTGCCAGGCCATTGATTTTAGGTGATTCATCGAACATCCATTTCAGGTTTTTTTTGTTTAACAACCTGGTAAATAAATAACGACTTGAGTGGTCACTGAAAAATGTTCCTACAAAGGTCACCACTGGACCTCTTCGTTAAATCAAGAGATTTTTCAGTTCTTGCTTAACTTGCTTTATCTACAACAGTTATAATGTGGCAGTAGACGACAACAGTTGTTTAATGAATGTTACATGTCCACAAAATGGATGGCACTAAATCATGAACTGTACTCAAGGGAATATTTTATCCTTCAAGGTTTAACTTTGGCCATGATTTTAAGAGCCACACTGAAAAACAATTTCGGCTGATTAAAGTACAAAGTAAAAATGGTTCTTAAACATTTAAAGAGAGCAGGCTGCTTTTGCAAAAGCCTCTTCCCCCTCCCTCCACTTTGACTCAGGAAACTCTAAAGAGCCAAACCGCCACGAACTTGGGGAGAACACAAACTTCTTCCCTTTATTAAGAACATGTACTTACTAATTATTTAAGGGCTCAAACATTTAAAAAGCCAAAGTGACAATTTGTTACTCATTTTCTAGGACGGTTCTTACCCATTAATTCTTCCTTGCCAAGATTTTCTAGGTAATCATCCTGATCACAATCGTTTTACCAAATGCCTACCAAAAATATCAGCTTTCAAATCAGTCAAAGGAATACTAAGCTTCTCCATGACCAAAGCACCGCTTCCTATAATCTACACGTGAGCCTGGCACGTAGCAAGCACTACAGACATTTTAAGTGTCACACGAAGCTTAAAAAATTAGACCTATTCCGTTGTTTTTCTACAATGGAATCGTTCAAGATGTACTGCTAGAAACTGGGCTTCCCATCGTGCCTTAAAGTCTCGGTAGCACGTGTCTGCCTGGATTCCCTTTTCCAGTTGCTTTTTGTCAAGGGACAGCTCCGAGAGCAGCCAACATTCCTAAAACGCCCATTGGCCCACACCCTGGGGCCAGGCTCTGGGTTGGGCCCAGGAGCTCATTGGTTGCCGCCTCTCAATGAAGCAGGCAACGCCGGTTACTCTGCCACACGGCCACTCTCGCCGCACTTGTGCGCAGAGAAGCCAGGGATCCGGTGGCAGGGCCTAGGAAGGCAATGGGTGGCTACTGGTGCGACCGCCGCCGGGAACAAGGCCCAAGCAGCCAGGGGATCTCTGTGTTTTTACTTAAGCTTGGATTTCCACAGTAATACCACCTAAAACGCCTCTTCGGCGCCGTCAGCTTATTCTCTCCCGCCTGATGGCCCGCGGTGGGAGTGGGCCCCAGATTCCTTTGCTCAAGCTTAAGGCATTATGTCCTGGGTTAGGCGGGCCTCCCTCCACCCGAACCTCTCCAGCCCCGCTCTCCCGGCTCCCGCCGGCTCCGTAGCAGGTTACACAAACCAAGGTCAAGAGACTGGTGAGCAACCCTCGGCGGGCTCCGCGGCCGCGTCGGGGGCCGCCCCGGGGACTGCGCCGTCTGCCCAGCCGCCCCGAAAAGGCTCTGGTGCAGAGCACGTTAGGGCAAAGGTGGGGCCCAGCCACTGCGACACGACTGCTCCCGCCCAATCCCCGCCGCTCGAGCGCCACATGCTGCTCGCGGCCACCGCGGGTGGGAGGCTTGCTCGCTAGCCCCTCAAACCAGGCCGGGAGGGCCTCTTCGGTGCGCGCCCGCGGCAAGAACGAGCGCCACTCCCTCCCTCCATTCCCCGAGGCGGGCACGCCCGAATTAGCGCCTGACTAAGCCCGCCGAGCCACACCTGCCGGAGGGAACCCGCGCAGGCGCCCCCGACCCCCACCTGGGGCCCCTGCCGCCAACTACCAAGGGGCAAGTCCGGAGGCGCGGGCCGCAAAACCACCCCGGGCCGCGCCGCTCGCCGCCCAGCGCGGGACGTTACCTGAGCACGCGGCCGCGCCGGCCTCCTCCCCTCCCCCAGGGCAGTGCTAGGCGCGGCAACTACGGCGGGAGAAGCCGGACACGGCCGATCTCCCCGAAACCGCGCACCTTCCAAGGCCGCCGAAGCGATCCCTGCCCGCAGACCTGCCCCCACCTGAAGGCTGCGGGAACCCGGGCCCCGCCCGTGACTGGTGCCTCGGCGGCGGCGACAGTCCCCGGGCCCGGATGTCAGCGAGTGCCCTGGGGACCCACCTTGGGATAGTGCGAAGATCCCCAGATCCTTGGTTTGCGTCGGGCTGCTGCCGGGAGAACCAAACCTCCAGCAGCTTCTCGGTCCCTTCGAAAAAATGTGCAGCTTCCATCACCGTGAGACTAGCGAACAACCAACAACCACAGAAAATCAACTAAATTAAACCTCTTCTCCCGCCGCTGCCGCCGTCGCTGCGGATTGTTCCAGCTGTGTTACTAAAGTTCAGGTTCCTTTTTTTTTTTTTGCTATAATTTTATATTAACTTTTTTTAAAAAAGGACTAATAAAATTTTCCCGGCTTTGTGTGAGCGAAAGTTGAACGTGAGTCTTTTGGAAATAGAGGCAGATACAGTTCAGTCTCTTGTATTCCGCTGCTTACCCGTTAGAGAGAGTAGAGCGAGCGCTAGCTAATATCGCCGGCCATACTGTGTAAGCGAGGGCACTGCGTGAGCACCGCCTTTATATACTCCAGCAGCCCTAAAGGGCCAGGAAGTGACGCATAGTCCCGCCTCCATGGCCCACAGGTGCTGCCGCCTGTCAATCACTCGCGGTCGAGTGGTGGCTGGCTAACCGAGGGCCTGCGGAGAGCGCCGGAGCTGCCGACTGCGCTGCGGCTCGGGCTGTCCCTGGCCAGTAAGTGGGAGTCGGTGCTGCGATGTCCGGCTGGGGACTAGAAACCTCGGATCGAATGCAGAGTGGGTGGGGAGACCGGGAACGGAATGAGGAAAGGCTCTGCAGAGTTTGTTTAGGAAAAAAAAAAATGGTTAGCAGAAAACATGGGTGGGTCCTTTGGGGTGTTGGTGGGGTTCAGCGGGGAGTGTGGCCAGCGTTGGGTTGGCGTTGTCGTTTTGATCTTGTGCAGTTCACCGCGACTGCTGAGATATTTGGCCATTCTTTAAAGTGTGTTTTCCCAAGGCGAACGCAGTCAGGCGTTAAAACTAAACATTTGTCCGTGACGCGCACGTTGCCAGGGGTCGAATTAGAAGGCGCTTTGATTCTGCTCACGCCTTGGCTGGTGTGCGAATGAATGCAGTCCTTGGCTGGTTTATACAATAGCCAGAAGCATTGTCTTCCCACTTCAGAAGAGAAAAGCAACGTGGCGCCCAGCCTTGGAGGGCTCCGGCTCTACCCACCTCCCACCGTGTGGCTCGCCGCGCCTCGCAGTTGGCTGAGCGCAGCAGCCGCCGGGAAGCACTGGCAACTGTGTTGCTCCATTAGGTCAACTGGTGGGAATTTATTCAGCAAAACTGCTTCTAGAAACTGAATGTGTTAAATATAATCTGAACTTATTTGATCATGTTTTTCTTTGAGTTTTATCAAACCGATGTATTGATAGAAGTTCTCCTTACCCCCCACCAAAATTTACAGTGCTGCCTTCTCGTGTACTTAAGAAGGATTTACCTGAAAATTAATGTAACGGATTCCTGATGGTAACTTAAAGAACTGTCAGTCTAATATTTCATTAATCAATGTTAAGTATAAAATAGTCGTCAAGCCATGGAAAACAGTTTAACCTCAGATGGCAAAACTGTGGTAACAAAGTTATGACTTTGAATTATGGGAGGAAAAAAACCAAGCTGACATAAAAATTGCTATTGTTACAAGGCAAAAAGAATGTTCACTATCATCCTTAGAAAAAAACTTTCCCCAAAGTGAAATAAGATAATGTCAGCATGAAAAATCCACTGAAAAAGACATGGTTTGGGTTTGCACTCTAGATACCCTGCATAACAGCACCGTTTTACAATAACGTGGATTCATGTGTTGGTGAAATCTGTTGAAAGACGCTATGTTGTGAGCTAGGCACATGTACTACTCTTGCCATGTTCTATAAGCATCCAATTCAAACTGCGGATTAGGACAAAAGATAATAAATGTTGCTTATTTTATAACGATAAAAGAATGTGGTTACTCTACTTGGAATAAAGATAAAAGAAGTATTTCTGTGTTTTACAAGCTGTTCAATTATTTGATGGTTGCTTATTGAAGAATCTGCCTACTAAACCACCTCAAACACTAATTGTGGTATAAACATAATTTGGCTTATAATTGCTTATAATTAGTTGCTTCTCAACTACTGTTATGCTTTTTCCCAGTGCAATTTAAGTTAATATAAAAGTGCCAAGAATCTTGGCAAAGTAAATCATCGTTAATTTGATATAGGATAATTTAAATAGACTCTACCAACTGGATCGGTCCTTTGTAAAATATATCATTTTTCTTGTTATCTTGAAGCTCAAAATTCCTAGTATACTCTGGTTTCTCTTCAGATTGTAGAAATAATAAAAATTAAAATCCCTTGTACTAAGTTGGTTAATCTTTGCTTGAATATTTTCCTGAACTCAATATGTCCGAAATACATTTATCGTTATTTCTAAACTGATTTCCTTTCTCAGCCTCATTTATATCAAGAGTGACCATTTTTTTCCCCACATTTCCAGTTTTTAAAAAATGGCTCATTGAACATCGCACTTTGCACACATAAAACACTTAAAGGACTCCCATCCTCTAGACCTTCTTAAGTTATCTCTGATTGTACCCCTTCCCTGTATTCTCTTCAGTAATCATTCCTATTAAGATCTTACTCAAATTTTTAAAAATCCTTACTTGACCCCACTTCTACCTTCAGCTGTCACCCAATTTCTCTGCTTCCCTTACAGCAAAACTCCCTAAAAGATGTAAAGACATGTTTATACTCATGGTCTCTGCCTCTTTATCTCTCCTTCAAATTCTCCAAATTGGTATTTATTCCTTGCACTTGACTGAAATGGCACTTCTCAAGGCCCACTTCTTGCCAAAGCCAGTGGTTGCCAAAGCCGCTGAGACCAATGAACGGTCTCAATCCCCATTTACTCAATCTTTCAATAGCTTGTGACACAATTAACTATGCCTTCCTTCTGGAAATGAGTCTCCAGGCTTTTCTGACATCTTTCTTTTTTTTGGTTTTCCTTGTACATCTGAATTTTCTTCCCAATGCTGCCGTGCTCTTGGCTACTCCTCTCTTCTATATACATTTTCTCCCTAGGTGACCTACCTCATCCAGTCCATGGCTTTATGACCCACCTGTAATATTAATGACTTTCAAATTTATATCTCCAGCCCAGACATCATCCTTGAATTTCAGTCCTTTGAGAGACTTGCCTCACTATTTGAATGCCTAACAAGCATATAGAAGCTACTATTATTAGAAAAGAGCTGTTCTTTTTCACAGCACAATCTGCCTCCTCCCCACAAACGCAAAAAAAAACTAACAAAAACCCGGCTATCCTCAACTCAAGCTTCCCGCTGACCTCTCTGTCTCTACTCTTATCTTTTCTTACCTCTTTATGGTCCACCCTTTACACAACAAATCACTTCATTACATAGTAGTTGCTTAAACTCAAAATCATCAACGATTCCACTCTTTCCTGCATTGTCCTACATCCAACTTATTAGCTGTGCTGAGATTTCTAAAACATTTCAAGAATTTGTTCTGTCTTTACTTCTACCATCACCCTAGTTCAGAGCGTAAAATTAGCTCCCCTGGACTTCTGCAGTAGCTTTCTAACTATAGTAGTCTTTGTCTTCACTTTGCCACCTCACTTGATTTAACACAGAACAGCTAGAGTGATTTTGTTTGTTTGAGTGTCTCCGTAGCCCAAGATAGAATGATGTTTTTAAAATATAAGTCCAATTATGACACTTATTAAAATTCTCCAATGGTTTCTCGTTACACTTAAAATCAAAATTTCTTACCCTGGCCTTCAAATCCCTAAGTGATTTGGTCCTGAATTAATTCTCCTTCAACGTTGTCTCTACCATTCACTTTCTGTACTCTAGCCATTCTTACCTGTTTCCCTTTAGGTCATTTTCATTTATCTGAAATGCTCTTTCTCTCCTCTTGGTATGGCTTGTTCATTCTTGTCATTTAGATCTTAGCTTAAATGTTGCCTCTTCTGAGAGGTCACTAAGCTACTACAGCAAAGAGATCTCCAAATACAGTAACTCAAAGATTAAGGTTTATTTCTCTCTCACATAACAGTACAAAGGTAGGCAACTAGTTTAGGGCTAAGTGGGCAGCTCTGTTCCATGAGATCATTCAGGGAACCAGGTTCCTTGTAACCCTTTTTTTTTTTTTAAGATGGGGGTTTCACCATGATGGCCAGGCTGGTCTTGAACTCCTGACCTCAGGTGATCCACCCACCTCGGCCTCTCAAAGTTCTAGGATTACAAGCGTGAGCCACCATGCCTGGCCCCCTTCTAACCCATTTTGACCATAGAGTAAAATCTTTATTCTCATTGTTAAAGCTGGCTTAATCTGTCCACAGACTAGCCTGGAAGAAGAAAAAAAGAAAGGGACAAAAACTACTTTTCTTATAAAAACAAGATGTGGAAACTTTTTTGTTTTGTTTTGTTATTGTTTTTGTTTTGAGACAGAGTCTCACTCTGTCACCCAAGCTGGGGTGCAGTGGCTCCATCTCGACTCACTGCAGCCTCGACTTCCCCGGGCTCAAGTGATTCTCCCACCTCAGCCTCCCAAATAGCTGGGACTACAGGCAAGTGCCACCATGCCTGGTTAATTTTTGTATTTTTAGTAGACACCTGGTTTCACCATGTTCCCTAGGCTGGTCTTGAACTCCTGGACTGATGATCTGCCCACTTCGACCTCCCAAGGAGCTGGCATTACAAGCATGAGCCACTACACCTGGCCTTAGATTCAATTTAAAGTGGTGAAGAAGTGTGCTAGAACTGGCTTCCTCCGGTTTGTGAGAGCTAATTGTTACATTCTCAGAAATTTTGTTAGTGAGTTGACATCCCAGTGGTGGTTTGAAACTAGCAATGCTGTGAGTATTTAGGTCAGTGAAATCGGCAAACTCTATAATCAGTGTTCTCCATATCCTCAGCTAGGTAATTGTTAAATATTTACTGATTATTAAACGTTTACTAGTATGCCTCTGGTTTTACAAATCTGTCACACTCGGAGGTTGCGGTGAGCCGAGATCGCGCCATTGCACTCCAGCCTGGGTAACAAGAGCGAAACTCCGTCTCAAAAAAAAAAAAAAAAAAACAAATCTGTCACACTGATGGTGTTGAAAACATGGTTTTCTTTGCCAGGCACAGTGGCTAATGCCTGTAATTTCATCCCTTTGGGAGGCAAAGAATAGAGGACTGCGTTAAGCCTAGGAGTTCTAGACCAGCCTGGGCAACATAGTGAGACCGCCATCTCTATTTAAAGAAGAAAGAAAAAGAAAACATGGTTTTCTCTAATGTCAGTGCAAGTTTTACTGCCCAAGGCTGTTGTTGGACTTCAAAGATTATAAGTGAGAAAAGTGTTTTAGAAATTGTAAAACACCATGTAAAGATATGGTATTGTTACTGCAAAATACAGAAGAAACAGAAGCAAAAGTGATGAAGAAAGAAACAACACTGTAATGCCTCAGATTACATTGAATTACATTAATTTAAG